ACAAAACTAAAAGAAAGGTTACATCAATGGATTTTTTTTACAAAGAGTACTGTAAAAATTATATGCAAACATTTTATAAATGTTAATTATACCAAGGCTATCAGGAAGTCTTACAATAATTAATACTAATTATTGGCTAAGTATTTGTCTGACTAAACTGATTTCAACATACTCTGTATTTCTCATTGCTGGCCCTTGAGGGAGTATTCTGAGGTATGGATAGAAAATGTATTTATAGAGGAGTTGGAATCACATGACTTAGGTAGCCTTATCAAATCCTTTGAGAAATGTCCATTATATAATTCCTTTTAGACCACAGTTTGACAATAGGTAATGGAAACACAAAAATAAGTTCACATTTACATATAGACTACAAGCATGTTATGAAAAGTAATATACCCTAATATATTTTCAAATGGTATCTTGTCTTTTGATAACTCAAAGTAACATCCTTCCTAGGGTTAACTAAAAATATGCACTGATCCAGAATAAACCGTTTTCATGTAATTATTAACAGTGAACTAGAAGCAATTATATATAAACATGTAAATGTTTTTAAAACAACAATGACTCTAAAATTAAGTGCAAAAGTCATCTGTAGGTTACAGATTAAGTATAAAAGAACATGGAAGAGACCTACTAGAATATAAACGGTCATCAGTTAAAGTTTAATTACTGTTCAATAATTCATTCTTCTAAAAGACAATGCATCCTGATAAATTCTGGCCCCAGGAACAGGCATTCTTCCTGCAGAAGCATTTCTTTTCTTGTTCACAGTGCTACCGTCTGTATCTGAACTGTTCCTCATTCATGGTAACACAGGTGAATGCATTCAAATGGCATTTAACATAAATTGTACCAAACTGTCCTATAATTCCATTTTGGACTGAATTAATTAACTTCTCGGTGGGTGGCTGAGGTGCCGAACACAAGCCTGAAGAAATACTTGACTGCTTAACCCCCTCTTACATAAGTTGTCTCTAAATCACGACAACTTCCATTTTTAATAAATAATACCAGGCAAAATACATTTAGTAGGACCCTAAAGGGTAAAGATAAGGCATTTATAATAAATGGATTTAGTTTTCCACATACATTCACAGCCATTTAAAGGAGGTCATGGGGCACCGCAGACAGCTAAGGAGGATTTAACGAAACACAGCAAGAGTTGGCACGCTTGGTATTTTTGAAAGACTGTTTACCTTAGGAGGTTTATACTAACAAAATGCCTTCTTTGTCCTTGCAAAACGTTTAAACAAAAAGCATACTACTTTGAAGCAATTAAAAATAGAACTATCCTAAAATGGTTTTAAGTAATTTATATTCTCATGTGTGAAATGTGAAAGCAATTGTCTAAAACGTTATCTGCAGATCTCACAATTATCATGGTATCATGAAATATCTATTGTTTCTCCAACTGTAGTATTATCAAGATATGACTTAATATTTTAAGTTTATGGTCTCCATATATCAAGAAACAAAAGAATAAACAAAGAATGGGAAAAAACAGTTCATAAAAAGCTCAAACATCTTTTATTACATGACTTAGGTTTTGTCATAAACTTTGGGTTTAGGAAATGAGAAAACAAATTTTCTTTTAACCAACTCCTGGACAGAGTGTCTAACTCAGTATTTTTAGGTAACTTTTAACTAATGAAACATAAGGAAAAATAAAGAAGACAATAACTATAAATACCTTTTGGAGAGAGTGAAGGAGTAGTTAATCATCACCATGGTTACCGCTGCTTCGTGGGAGAAGGATGGGCAATCTCCTCTCGTGATTTACTGCCTCTGAAAACTCACTGGAGGTTCAGTTATAAGTTGGTTCTGACTTGACAGCACACAACAACAACAACTACTACTACAACTTGTTAGTCAAAAAGTCAACAGCCACAGTTTTTCTGAGAGAGAAAAATGGATACTTCTTTTTTTTTTTTAAATTTTGTGTGTGTGTACCGTCAAATCAGACCTGACTGGTACAGGAGGATATTGTGCCTCCTTCTCCGGTAGAGCGTCCGGTGGATTTGAACCGTGTTCCTCTGGGATTGCAGTGCAGCTTCTTGCCACTAGGCCACCAGAGCTCCCCGAAAAAAATGGGTACTTCTAATCCTGTTAAGAGTTATAGCTGCTGAGTCAGAATGGACTCACTGGCAGTGAGGTTTTTGGTTTTATGTCAAAAGGCGCTTATAGCAGAGTGGGTAACATGACAGGCTGCTAACTTAAAAGGTTGGCTGTCTGAATCTACCAGTTGCTCCCTAGGAGAAAGATGGGTCGGGGTGGTCTCCTTGCTAACATTTACTGCCTTAGAAATCCAAATGAAGGCCACTGTGAGTTAGACTTGACGGCTGTGGGTTGGTCTGTTTTGGCGTGGTCAAAGTAGAGTCTCAGGGTGGCGCAAACAGTAACCACTCAGTTAATAACCAAAGCATTAATAGTTTGAACCTACGTAAAGGCTCCTTGAAAGGAAGGACTGGTGATGTGCTTCAGAAAGGCAGACACTGACAACCTGATGAAGGTTAGTTCTACCCTGTAACACGCCAGGGGCACCATCAGTAAATACTGACTAGATTACAGCTGTGGTTCGGGTTTCCCGCCCTTTCAAACTGGTCTAAGGGTGTACAACTTCAGGCTGATTTCAAAGGCTTTATTATAGCATGTAATGAATGAGGCACATCTCCCAGCAACGAAAATAAAGAAAATATGCATGTATATACATTTGGCAAGAAGCTATTCCAAAGGTATAAGGTTCAAGTCTACCAGCTGCTACATGGTAGACGGACGGGCAATCTCCTCGCATGTGATTAAGTGCCTCTGAAAATCTGCTGGAGGGTCAGCCATGATACAACAACAACAACAACAACATACATTTTCAGGGTAGTGATGGGTGGTCCTTGGTCTCGTTTCACCTACATGGGTCAGGAAGAAAGGGTCTTGTTCCAGAGTTTTCACATTGGGGGCATTACAATTGCGAAGACAGTTTCCATGAATAAATTGTCTTCCTGTGTAACTTAAAATGGTAGTCTCCTCTCATAAAGATTTATGGCCTCAGAAATCTGACGGAGAGTCTGCTAAAATTTGCATGAGGAGAAATGACAAGAATATAGTTTGAGAGCTGTAATACTGATTTGCTGTAAAAGCACTAACTTTAAAACAAAACAAAGGAATTCCTCAGGTGACAGTTTCAGAAACAATTCTGCTTGCAGGGTCTTCCCACTCTGTAATTTAGTGGCAACAAGAGTCACAAATGCTGTCAAAAACAACACTGAGGTTTAAAGAAAATAGACGACCAACATCAAACAATAACACCCTTTTGATTTTTAATCTGTCATTCACTGAAATGAAGCTCACACCAGAAATTCAAGACCCTTCTGGCTAGCAAAATAAATTAATGCTATCTTTTTACAAGTTTTCCTACCTGTGATTGCTTAAATATTTTGGGCAAAAGAATTAAAATTGTTCTTTTCATCAAGTATATGCTAGCGCTGCCCACCACAAGAGATCTTTATATACTCATTCCCTTGAGTCCCAGTTCTTACTAGGAGCCCCGGGCAAACACAAAAGTAAAAAGGTGGTTACATCATTTCTATATAAGTAGGTAAAGGGGAAGGAGAGAAAAAGATTACTGTATAAAAATAATGAAAGGTTTCACTTAAATTAATGAGTTATTTTTTACAAGTGTTCATATTACTATAATACAGCTCTGATCCAAATAGAGCTCTTACCAGCTTTAAAAAGATCTCCAGGTATTATACACAGGGCAGTAATTTAATTCATCTATTTTGGTTTCTTCCAATGACATTTAGAGTTCAGTGTGATTTCAGATTTTAAGTGCTGCTGCTGACACCTCACGGAAATGGCTTTCGTTGGAAATTCTGATTAATTTTCAAAACTGTAAAGCCCTTCTTTATAAGAAGCATTAAGAACTGAAATTTTGTTCTTTTAAGGTATTCGTCTTCTTGCTATTTATTCCTCCCTTGATTTCATAATCCTGTTTGGGTCACTATGATTAGTTGCTATGGAAATTACCCCCTATGGAAATGATTTCTATGCCAGCCAGTATTTTAAGAATATGATTTTAAATTAATAATATCAATAGCAGACATCAACCTTTACTAGAAAAAGGAAATCTAATTAAGAAAAAAGAAAAAAAAAGATGAATCCTGAAAATTATTATCATGGGTAACTTTTCTGATAATTTTGAATCTGCCATCTGCTTTTTAAGTAAGTATTAAATGAATTTTAAGGTGTTATTCAGCTACCCATTTCCCCAAATTCCAAAGTCACAATGGAAATTAGAACCACACAGAGAAAAGTGAATTAAGGAATATCCTATCTACTATTGCTCTAAATTAATAAAGGTTATGCTTCAGTAATCAGAGTTAATGTCAACAGGATTTCAGGGCTCATCAAGGAAACAACTTTGAATAACATATTAAAAATTCTCTTTAAAGATGGAAGAATTTAATATTCCAAAATGTAACCCAGGAATTTAAAAGGTCAGGCCTATAAACTAGAGAGCTGAACAATAGATGAGAGCCAGTGAACCATTAGATGAGAATTCCAGAATGCTAGGAAGAAAATTTCCTTGTGTGGATTCTATAATTTGTGGCTTGAATAAAACTTTTGAAACATTCTATTACTATTAAAATTCGCACAATAAGGATATGGCTCACATTTAACACATTTTAAATTACAGTCTCTCTCTAAAAGAAATGTGAATGTTTTATTCTCCCTAGTGCTTTTTCACTGCCTGGTACTAATTTAGGGATGGATTAACCCTTCCAACAATTAGGACAGTTTCTAAAAACTATCTCTTGAACGTTGCTGAGGATATCACCTGTATATATCTATTTTTTTTCTATAACTAATAGTTTATTAATTATTGATGTAAATCACTGTCATCTTTACCTACATAAGTACATATTATTATATCTCTAATGGTTCAGAATTAAGTCTCACAGTTATAGATCGTAATAAATGTTTTATACATGGAGAGTCTTTCATACTTGTGCCTGCAACCATGACCGAGGGTCCAAAATGTCTTTGATGGATTTCTGCCTTGGAGCTGGCACTGGCATGGCTTCAGAAGTGCTTTCAGTACCTTTGTGCTCACAGTCAGTTACACCCTGCTTGCTGGCAGGGAGAAGTTTTCGAGGAGCAGCCATTGGTTTCTGGAGCTGACACATTAGGGTGGATAATTTGGTATCGAAAGTTGATGCCCGAGATACACTCGTTTTTTCCCACTTGTCCTTAACAAGATCATCCACATTGGACTGTGTTTTTAAGCTGAATGCAGGTTTATCAGAGGGAGGAAGGGGGGCACGCCTCTTCTTCCCCTTCCCATCTTGTAAATGCTCACTTGCAGGAGATAATACCTTCTTCTCAATGACCATTTCATGATTGCCATCAAAGAGCGAGGCCCATGGAGGTGGTAGAGATTCTTCACACTGACCAATGAGGAACTGTCCATCTGTCTCTTCAATTTTCTTCTGTATTATATCAGTTATACTTTCAAGCTTCATGGGAGAGTCAATGCCTATATTTACAGGGAAAAATAAATTGGGAAAAAAATAAAATTAGTAGGTATGTCTTTACTTGAAGAAGTTATTTTCTAAACAAATAGACTAGGTAATAGCCAACAAAATTTAGACTAGCATAAGCAATGTAACATTTACTTTTAAAAATAACTCTGAAAATTAAAAAATTTCTTTTTCACTCTATCTACCTAGTCGTCCATTCACCACACACATACATTTTGCCTCAATAAAAGAGTAGAATCCAAATTGCAAAGCAGTAAAGTTAAATGAGTACATTTTTGGTCATACAGATTAAGTATTTCTTAGACAATTTTTTTTTTGCCCCTGGATTTAAAGAAATCCAACTCTGGCTTCTACGTAAGAGTGGATTTCTATTTTCAGAAAGTATGATTTAAAGAAACCTATGACTACTGTATGTAATCAGACTTGTATTGTTTCCTGTAAGTCAGCAAAGTCTTGGTTATATAGAGGAGGAAAGCAGTAAAAAAACCAGGGAAATAAGAATAAAACAAAATAACTGAAAAAGAGATAAAGCTCTGATAACATTGTACTGCAGGGCTGAAACTGTTATTGGGGAAATAAAGAAGTAAAACTTTTATTGCATGAATCATTGGTATTTTCAAATTTATAAATTCCACGGTATAATTTCTGATCTAACATTTTAAAACATATGTAAATGCAAGTACATCAGAGGCAAATGAAACCAGAATTCAGTGGTGACTTGTGCTTGTTAATAACACATTCACTGAGGCAATCTTACAAAGATAAATACCCTTCAATGTGTGGAAAAATGGACTACTAATTAGTCGAGAAATTTTAAATTTTTCTAAGCATTAAACTTATCCAATATTTTTTGGATAGAGATGAAAGCTTCCATTCATTAATATTCATTTGCAAAGACTACTTAAAAACAAATTTAATAAAATACAGAAAACTGAACATGAGTCTATTTCAGAATCTATAAGCTCACATGCTCAGAATTTTCATCAGCTTCTCAGCTAATATTTATTTCCACTGCACCTTTATTCATTTTGAAGCCTTAAAATTTTTGTTTGATCTTAAGCATGCAAACTATGAAAAATGTGTATTCATTAATTTTGCATTAATTCATCTATTAAACATGAATTCCTGAGTCTATAATCACAGCCTTTTTTCATTCATTTTAACTGTGCCCTGAAAATTTTAGCATTTTAATGTCAAAAGAATAAGCTGCTTGAGTTTGGACAATGTTGTTTTTGTTACTCTGCAGCTCGGAAAGACAAACCCCACTCACTCATATCATGGTAGACAGAGGTCGCCTCTTTTGTTAAGAACAAAGGTGGTTTCCGTGGTGACATAATCTCAATTTTCATAAGTTCTTCACAACAATGCTTCCATTGGCCTAAGAAAGATAGAAAATGCAGGCTAATTTGAAACATAAATGTGAAGGTACTTATTTCATTTTTAAGAGATATAAACACTTTTTTCTCCTCTAAAAATGTAACAGATACTTTATAAACACTGTCTAAACAAGCTTGTACAAAAATATAGTACTACCTGTATCTTCAAAGTCCAAGTCAAGGCATAAAGATAATCTGATAAAAAAATAAAATTGAATGTACAGATGTTAAATTAAGATCTCTTTGTCTCACTAAATTGTGAGTAATTACTTGAAATTTTCTATTTAGTAAAACTTTGTAAAGGTTTCCTTTTTAAATTATTCAATAAAAAAATTCAGCATTTAAGATAAAGGTAAAAATCCCCTAGAATATAATTATGTAGAAGGAAGCAGAAAAAAACAAAGAATGCTGTGGCTATCAAAAATAGATTTAACTGTTTTTTATGCAAAACCATATAAAAGGAAAACACTTAAAAATGTTATTTAACTGTGAATATTTTAATTAAGAAGTAAGAATTGTTTAACAATTTAATTTATTCTCATTTAGAATGGTCATCACACTTTTCCAAATCAGATTTAATTTTCCAAATAAAATGTTAGAAAAATACTGTATTTTCACTTAGGTGAAGGATATTTATAAAAATCTACCACTATAAAAACACATCACTCAATAAAATGCCAATTACAATTCATTCATTGGGGGAAGGATACTTTAAAACCATTATAAATTTAGAATAAAAAAAAGAAGACTACTGAATCCCCAGTAAATTTAGTGCATTACTTTTCTTTCATATTATATTTTAGTGTTTTCTTAAGGAGCTCTGGTGGTGTAGCGTATAACATAGTGGACTGCTAACCAGAAAGTCAGGAGTTCAAATCTATCAGCTGCTCTGCAGAAGAAAGACAGCCAATCTCCTCCACAAAGATTTAAGCTTCAGAAAGTCAACGGAGGCCACTATGTATCAGAATCAATGGATAGCAGTTGGTATTTTCATTTTAAAATAAAACCTCAGATTTCTTCCTCCTGACTGCAAATAAAGTGGTTAACACTTACTGTGCAACTGTATTAGATACCAGAGTCTACATTTTACATATTATAAAGAAATTCTTGAGGTTCCCTGTACTTATATCCTATTTATACCAGTTGTTGTTGTGTGCAACTGAGTTATCTGTGACTCATAGCGGGCCTATGTACAATAGCTCTGAAGTGTGCCCTGTGCTGAGCTGATCTCAGGGACTCTAAAAAGCCCACCCCTTTTAACCCAGTAATCTTGTCAATCTATATCTTATCTGGGTTTTTCCTCTCCTGCGTTATCCCACTACCCTTCTGAGCATGATGTCCTTCTGCAAGGACCAATCTCTCCTGTCCACATGCCCAAAGTATATAAGATGGAGCTTCAAAATCCTTGCCTCCAAGGAGAAACTTGGTTTCACTCTCTCCAAGAGAGACATATTTGTTCTCTTGGAGGTCCATGGTATGTTCAGTATTCTTTTCCAGCACCACAACTCAAAGGCATCAATTCTTTTTCTCTTGTCCTTGGTCAATGTTCAGCCCTTTGATCATAGCAAATAATTGTGAAGACCATGGCCTAGACCATGTTCACTTTAATCTCTACACTAAGACTTTCTTTTACTGTTCTACTGGCATAAATGAAACCAAAATGCACTTATGCCTGTAAAAATGTGAAAGTAATATGTATATTTTCCTTTTAAAAATTATTTATCATGTGTAATTTGCTGCTTTTTATTTGGTTCTCAATATTCAATACTAAATTTAGCTTAAACAACCCTCACATTTTAGTAAAATAATCTCTTCTTTTGTGTTCTTTAGTCCATCAATTAGTCAGTAACACACATATGAACATACCATTAAAATTTATTTATCACTCTTTGCAACAATGGATGACGGGTACCCCTAAGTCTCTGTAAACTTTCATTAAAATTAATAAAAAAAGAAAAAAATTATAAATAAAAAACCCACCAAATTACAAAATTTTAAAAGATTATCTGTCACTCTTAATAGTTAAGAAGCCAAAAAGCCCACCTTCCATGTGTATTTTATTAATGCAAAGTATAACGTATTTATTTCTGAGTTAAAAATTCAATTACCCATATAGCAACTCAAAGAGAGACTAAAACCCTCAGTAAAGACTTTAGAGGTGGTTCTCCTGAATTTAAATATGGTAGGATATGAAAACTGCTATTTATTCTTCACTTCCTTTTTTAAAGATAAATATATAAAAGCTAGATTTTGCTTCTTAGGGGTACAGCAAAACAAAAATTCTTTATCCAATAGAAAAATAATGAAATCATCTAGCAAACGCTGTCACAATCTCAGACAAATTATAAAGTATAGTATTTTCCCTATATTCATAGATGAAAGCTTTTCATTGTTAGGCTGGTAGCAGAATACTAATCATGTTGAAAATTGAGAATGATATTCCATATTATCTTGTGTGCTACGGAAGTCAGAGGCGAAAATGTGGTATGTTCACTGGTCAAGATTTTATAATGGAAACATTTATTTGGCAGTGAATAAACTACTATGCATAGTTATACATGATATTCAGTATGCTAACGTGAAAACAAAGGCCCAGTGTGAAACACTAAATGGATATGTTTTGCTCACACAACAAAGTATATTGAAGATGTTTTCTCACAATTTGTTCCCAGTCAAAAAGGATCCACTATACAAAGCTGCTAACAAAATTCAATATAGATAGATAGATAGATAGATAGATAGATAGATAGATAGATAGACAGACAGATATAGATATACATATACATACATAGATATTATGAAATATTTAGGGAAAAGTAGTGTTCCCAATTTACCTTAAATTTCATACTTGGGAAGGCAGAGTCAGTGAAAGGGAGGACCTTCAATGAAGTGAACTGAAACAGTGACTATAACAGTGGGCTTAAGCAAAGCAGACACTGCCAATGGTGTGAGATCAGGCAAGGGTTCAATCTATTGTACGGACACAGTTGCTAAGAATTAGTCAACTAGATGGCACCTAACAGCATTGCCTTTTTTCTTAGAGGAAGACTCATCAACAACCTGCATTATGCAGATGTCACAACGTTACTTGCTGAAACTGAGGAGTGCCTGAAGCATCTGCTGCAGAGGGTCAAGGACTACAGTTTTCAATATGAATTGAAACTCAACATCAAGAAAACAAAGATTCTCACAACTGGGCCAACTGGCAGCATCGTGATAGATGGAGAAGAGATTGAGGCTGTTAACAATTTGAGCTTGGTTGGCTCCACAATCAACACTCTTGGCACCAGCCGTCAAGGACCTCTCCAGAGTACTGAAGAGCAAAGATGTCAGTTTAGAGACTCAGGTGCACTTGATTCAGTCCATGGTCTTCACAATTACTTGCTATGTATCAGAGAGCTGGCTAATGACCAAGAATGATAGAGGAAGAATTGAAACCTTTGAGTTATGAGCTGGAGAAGAGTTTTGAACATACCATGGACTACCAAGAAAACTAATAGATCTGTCCTGGAGAAGGTGAAATCAAGCTGCTCTTTGGAAGCAAGGATTTTGAGGATCTGTCTCACATACTTGAAGGACAAGTCTTTGGAGAAGGATATCATGCTCTGAAGGGTTAAGGGACAGTGCAGGAGTGGAAAATCCTGGATGAGATGAATTGACACAATAACTGGCATAATAAGTATAGGTGTGTCAGGGAGAGTGAGATTGGCTCAGGACAGAGAAAGGTTCAGAGTTATTGTTCATAGGGTCGTTATGAGTCATAGTTGACTTGATGGCATCTAACAACAACAACAATACTGAAATATTATTCATCGACTTTAACCAAGATCACAAGAAGTATTAACAATCTACCACTAGGAGAATAAAAGATTTTAAAATACAAGCCACCTTTTAGGATGACTGTTGAAATGCTTCCACTTTTATCTTTGTATCTGAAAATAGAATGAATTTTAAAGTATGTGATCTAAAGTAAGAAATACTTTAGATACAAATTATACTTGAAATATTTTATCCAAGAAGTATTAAATACTTAAGAAACAAACAAATTTAAGAACCTAGATTTTATTACTTTCTTATCGATCTGATAATACAAAAAGGTCAAGATTTTTACCTCTTTAACACTTTCCTTAGCATGATAAATTGTTTCATACAATCCAAATTATAATCAAGTTGTACTTGATATTTAGGCAAGAACAAACAGATATGTCTGGGAAAAAGTGCAACCAGAGTGCAAAGATGGCAAGGCTTCATCTCACACTCTGGACATGTTGCTAGAAGAGGCTCCATCTTAGAAAGAGACATCATGAAAAATAGCAAAAGAGAGGAAGAATCCCTTCTCCCTCCACCCCAGTGAAATGAATTGACACAATGACTGTAACAATGGGTTTAAGTGTGTCAGAGATGATGATGGACCAGGATAGAAGGGTTCATGTTTGTTGTTCTTAGGGTTGTTATGAAATTGTACTTCACCTAAAGGCACCTAACAACACAAAAAGCAACAATACTTAATGCCCTTTCCTCTTTTCATATATACACACACACAAATAAAATACATAATTATTTTTAAGGATACTGCTTTTAAAATACAAAACATCATTGCTGTCAAGTCAGATTCAACTCATAGCTGACCCTGAAGTGGGTTTTAGGAGGCCGTAAATTGGAATGAAGAGAATGCTGCTGGTGGATTTGAAGTGCCAGCACAGACACCACCTTTGTGTTAGCAGGAGAAATCTCTATAGTCTAGGCCTCTGGAGAACCATTTATATAAGACACATACTTTAAAACCAGAGTAGTTAGAAAAGAAGTCCAAAATTTAGCTGTGATCAAAAAAAAGAAGCTTATGAGTTATGTCCTTTAGATTTGCTGAAATAAAAAAAAATCTCTCTTTCATTGATAAAAATAGAAATGTAGTACATGATAACTTGTGTGCTGAAGGGACAGTATATAAGGGAATAAAAATCCTACAGAATAGAGGGAGTCCATTGGTTACCTGTGATGAACCAAAAACCTATGCAGGCCTTCCTTTCCATATCCACAGGATAGAGAAAAATAGTCCCTACCTCACAAGGATTTTAAGATAAATAAATGAGCTTATCTGGTGGATGGGAGGAACACACTACATTTATTTCCCTTACTTGCCTGTCTCTTCAAACATTGATGAAATACTTCACCTAGACATGGTAGACTTATTAAAACTTAACCTGTGAAAGACAGGCTTACCTATAATGTGCAGGAAAACAGCTGCTAAGGGTACCTGCAATGTCTGTGGCACTATCTCTACTGCTTGGAGAAGTAACTTAGTTGTTTGGAAAAGACTATCAAGGTACTTCTCTACTTGATGATTGTTTATAGAAAAGTAGTCTAAGGTCAAAAAACACAGGTTGAGCCTAATTTTAGTTCACAAGGCAAACATCAATAAATTAAAAAATAGAAATAATGCAAAGAATTTTCTCAGACCACAATGCTACAAAAGTAGAAATTAATAACAAAAGGATAAAGGAGAAAAAAACCATACATCTGGAAGTTGAACAATACTTTGCTTGAACATGACTGGGTACTAGAAGAAATAAAAAATGAAATTAAACAGTTTCTTGAAACAAATGACAATGAAAATACCACTTACCAAAACCTCTGGGAAACAGCCAAAGCAGTAATCTGAGGTCAATTTATAATTATAATATATAACAATAAGCAAACATATCGAAAGGCAGGAAAAAAATTATTAACTCTCTAAACCAACATCCTCAACAAATTGAAAAAGAACAGCAGAAAACTCAATACTCTCTATAAACTGAAATTATAAAAAGCAGAGCAGAAAAAAAAATTGAAATAGAAAACAGAAAAACAATTGAAACCATCAACAAAACTAGGAGTTGGTTCTTTGAAAAGGTCAATAAAACTGACAAACCACTAGCAAAAGTAACAAAGGAAAAGACACAAATAATCTGAATAAAAGATGAGATGGGCAAAGTCACAACAGAACCAACTAAAATAAAAAGGCTAACATTGGAGTATTATGAAAAACTACACTCCAACAAATATGAAAACCTAGAGGAAATGGACAAATCCTTAGAAATTCACAACTTACCTAAACTGACACAAACCAAAATTGAACACCTGAACAGACCCATTACAAAAGAAGAAAAAAAGGTAATAAAACAACTTCTAACCAAAAAAAGCCCTGGGCCAGATGGTTTTCCAAAAGAATTTTATCAAACATTCAGAGAAGAACTTCTACATGAAGTATTTCAGAAAATAGAAAAAGATGGAATTCTCTCAGACTCATTCTATGAAACAAACATTTACTTGATACCAAAGCCAGGTAAAGACACCACCAAAATAGAAAACTATAGGCCAATATCTCTCATGAACATAGATGCAAAAATCCTGAATAAAATCTTAGCCAATAGAATCTAACAATACATAAAAAAAATAATTCAAAATGACCAAGTGGGATTCATAATAGGTATGCAAGGATGGTTCAACATAAGAAAACAATCAATGTAATTCATCACATTAACAAAGCAAAGAACAAGAACCACATGATCCTATCAATTGATGCAGAAAAGGGCTTTGATAAAATCCAACACCCTTTTCTGCTTAAAACACTCAACAAAAAAGAATCAGAGGGGAATTTCTTCAACATAGTAAAAAAGTATACATGCAAACCCAAGAACCAACATTGTTCTCAATGGAGAGAGATTAAAGGCATTTCCCTTGAGAACAGGAACTAGGCAACAATGGCCACTATCACCTCTCCTACTCAATACTGTATTGAAAATCTTAGAGACAGAGAAGTAAGACAAGAGAAGGAAATAATAGGTATGAAAAATTGGCAAAGAGGAGGTAAAACTATGATAATATTCTTAGAAAACCCTAAAGTCTCAGCAAGAAAACTACTGAACACAGTTGACCAATTCAGCAAAGTGGCGGGATGCAAGATCAACATACAAAAAATCAATTGGGATTCTCTACAGTGACAAAGAGAATACAGAATTGGAGCTAAGAAAAACATTTCCCTTCACAATAGCTAACCACAAGATTAAATACTTGGGAGTAAAGCTGACCAGAAGCACAAAGGATCTATTAAAAGAAAATTACAAAACATTACTGTAAGAAACAAAAAGAGACCTGGCGATGTGGAAGAATATCCCTTGCTCATGGATAGGAAGACTCAATATTGTGAAAATGACAATACTACCAAAGGCAATTTACACGTTCAATGCAATCTTAATACCAATTCCATTCTTTAATGAGATGGAAAAGGCAATCTCCAATTTCATTTGTAATGGAAAGAGGCCTAGAATAAGCAAAGCACTCCTTAAAAAGAGAAACAAGGTAGGAGGCATCTCACTCCCTGATTTCAAATCCTCCTGCAGTGCCTTGGTGGTCAAGACAGTGTGGTAATGGTACAATGATAGACACATAAATCAAAGGAATAGAATTGAGAATATAGAATCAGCCCATCTATCTATGGTCAACTGATTTTTGACAAGGAGATGAAATCAGTTAAGTGGGAAAATGACAGCCTTTTTAACAAATGGTGCTGGAAAAATAGGAAAACTATCTGCAGAAAACTCAAGCAAGAGCCACACCTCACTCCATACACAAAAACCAACTCAAGGTGGATCATGGACCTAGGACTAAAACCAAGGAATAAAAACTTCATTAAAGAAAAGCTTGGAAGAACTCTAGAAGTCCTAATCCACAACACAAACAGTCTTCCAAGTTCCTGAAAACTCTACAATCAGGAGAGGATAAAACAGATGAATGGGACCTTCTAAGAATCAAATCCCTATGGACATCCAAAACCTTCTCTAACAGGGTAAAAAGGGAAGCCACAGACTGGGGAAAAAAAATTGGTAATGGCATGTAAGACAAGGAACTTATATCTTGTTGTTGTTATGTGCCATCGAGTCGTTTGCGACTCCTAGCGACCCTATGTACAAGAGCTCTGAACACTGTTCTATCCTGTGCCAGCTTTGCCATCTCAAACGCACTTAATTCCCACTACTCCAGTCACAGAATCGATCCATCTCATCGAAGGTCTTCCTCTCCTTCGCCGCCCCTACACTCTGCCAAACATGATGTCCCTCTACAAGGACCAGTCCCTCCTTGCAACATGCCCAAAGTATGTCAGACAAAACTTCAGAATCCTTGACTCTAAGGAGCATTCCAGCTTCACCTTCTCCAGCACAAATCTGATTGTTCTCCTAGCAGTCCATGGTATATTCAACACTCTTCTCCAGCATCACAGCTTAAAGGCATCAATTCTCTTTCTATCAACCCTATTCACTGTCCAACTCTCTGATGCATAGCACATAATTGCGAAGACTATAGCCTGGACCAGGTGCACCTTAGTCTCCAGCCTAATGTCGTTGCTCTTCAGTATTCTTGAGAGGTCCCTTACAGCCGACTTTCCCAATGCAATTCGTCTCTTGATTTTCTGGCTGCTGTTACCAAGTGTTGAATGTGAAGCCAAGCAAACTAAAACTGTTAACTGTCTCAATCTCTTCACCATCCATACTGATGCTGCCAATTGGCCCAGTGGTTAGAATCTTTGTTTTCTTGATGTTGAGCTTCAATTCCTATAGGAGGCTGCAGTCCTTGACCTTCTGCAGCAAGCGCTTCAGGTCCTCCTCAGTTTCAGCAAGCAGGGTTGTGTCATCCCCATAACGC